TTTTTAACACCTCATTTTGCCCTCTTCGCTTCTTTTTGCGAAGTTTGATTTCATTTTCAAATTGGTAACTAAGCAGAACATTTTCGCTGAGGTATAACATGCCAGTATATTTTGGCATAGTTTAGCAATATTCGCCGCGTTTGCCTTATTTTCCGGTTACCTCCATTCTTTGAAGGAAACAAGAAAAAAAAAAAAGAAAAAGAAAGCGAGTTAACAAATATAGAAAAAAAAGTGTGGAGTAAAATATGCATTTTTCTATTTTTTACCGTCTTATTGTGGTGGAATTCTTAATTGCTTTCGATTTTAGCCATATCAGCTCATCAAGAGAATATAATCTCATGTAACCTGCGATTAGGGCCTTTTTTCCTGCTGTTTTTAATGTTAGTAGGTTTGCTTGAGTTTGTTCTTTTTTCCCACGCGGAAAGCATCAGCGACCAAAGGGCGGGGTTTAAGAAATGGAAACAGTGGGTGGGTTCGATACAGGTGGCATCTTGAATCGCTTTTTATAATGTTCATGTACACATTATTACAACAACTGAAATAATGTCACTAATAAGTGAATGAGTTTGAAAACAAGAAGATGCGGTCCCAAGGCACACATTCACGAAGAAAGTGTGATGGCACCCAACTGTTTCATTCTCTAAGGGTTGAATTATACGAAATCCCTTGAATATACCCTTTTAAGCTTCCAAGTGAGGCCTTAACGATTGCATTTGGTTGATTCTTGGAATAAGGTTTCGCTGATCCACGTCTTGCAACGTTCTAAATCAGCTTTAAAATGCATCACTAATTACCCATTGAATCTTGTCGTTTGCTATTAACGTTCTTGTAATAAGGTGTACATGAACACCCAAACATTTAGTTTAAATATAATGACGAGAAGGAATACGACTGTACAGCTGATGATAATGTACCATGGCTACATGTGTAACGAATTAGTTTAACATGTAACTTTATGAAGCTGTCTCTTGGATAAGCTGCACAGCTTGTCCATTGTTACACTCCAGTCTCTCGTCAAATAATAAAATTATCACTTGGAATGAAGGAACTTATCGTTGTTTTTCAGTCTCTCGTCGGCAGTGACGTAAAATCCCATGGTTTTTTGTTTTATTTTAAACCGTGGTAAGCGCAGGTCAAACAATTCACACGCCAGTAAACCTAATCTTCTTCAGTAGTGAAAAAACCAACTAGGACATAAATATCAAAAAAACTTGATGCACGAAAAATATATTCTAACAATATGAAATTAACGCAAACTTCGTATCTATCGTCAAACAATTGTCGTCGAAAAAACTATATTTGCACTCTTCAAATGTAATATCACTTTCAAAGAATTGCAATAACAACAATCCCTAAGGGGACCAGTCATTTTTTATCGCGGGGGAAGGGGGATTGGAGCATTTTGGTTGTGTCACCATAAAATTTACCTGATCCCCCCATGAGGCTCTTTGACATTCTTTTAACCCCCTCCCCCTCAGTAGCATTTAATTAGCAGCCTCCTTTCTCAAGTCAACCTGTTATACTCTGTCGGCCACGATTGATCCCCTACTGCTCTCCCTGAGAACCATATGACTCCCCCAATATCCTCCGCCCTCCCTCCCCTAACAAGATAGGCTGTCCGTGTAAAATGACCCAGCAAGGAAGTAGAAGAACACAAACTGAAATTTAACAGGCCAAATTTGTACAGTATGACTTTGAAAATTTCCAAGAATTGTTATGTGCAGTTGGCAAGCCAGGCCTTCGTTGCGAAAAAAAATGAAAGAGGTATAGTGTCCTGGCTTCAATTTGTCTTCATGTAAGCGGCCGACTGCTGCAACTGAAGATCACCGGATCCCTTTCGCGGCGAGATCTTCTTTAACACGTTGGAGATAATGTGGATCGGGATAACCAAATCTAGGGAAAAAAAAACACAGGTCAATAATATCTTTTGTCACTTCTTCAAAGGACTGAACTCTTATTAATGACAACGGTCAACAATAATCGTGCGCGAAACCTTTCGGTGAAAAAACACCGCACCTTGCAAGACACGTTACAAATTTCAACTTACTTACCCGTGGGCACCCCCTGTTGTACTTGTCTTATGATGTATATCATTCCACGTGATCTGATTGAAAAGTCCTGTTGTTATGGAGGTACCCACCGTAAACACCAACCGTGCGTTAAAAGCTCTGTGTAGCAGCTGCAAGACTTCTTTACCCTCGCGATTATCAGGCAAATACGCAGTACGATGCGTACCATTGTACCGCTGACCAGGGTTTGGGTGCTCTGGGCCTTGAATTCCTGATTGAAAAGAATACTGAATGCAGATGGTACCACACCCTTATGAAAGAAAAAAAAAAGACCAACTTCGAATCGAAATTCTATTTATCATAGCAATACTTATAACCTATTTGAAAAAAGTAAATATAATTCTATTCACATTGTTGTTGATTTTTGTCAAAAAGGGTTCTTAATGCCATTTCAATTTCAATTAAAGGGGTAAGATTCTTAAGAAATTGTGGAGCTGCATTGGTGGGAGGGTATGAGAGGGTAATTTAGTATTATAAACTCAGTTGATAACGTAAATAAACCACCGTAAAGAGTTTCAAAGCTGACGTTTTGAGTGTTAGCCACTCATATTCACATCCCCTTAAGTTTAAGAATAATCAACTAGAATAACTACAAAAATTGTTATTTTCTGAGGATTCTGCATCTTAGAGACAAAATCATACTAGGACATAAACAGACCACCTTCAGACAACACTTATTTAATCAAAGTTTGGAACTTCTGCTTCCACCTAAAAAGAAAATTTCTCTACATTTTTATTTCACTTAATTATGTTATTAAATTTCATGTTGATCAAGTCTAAAACTTTCTTCAAATGATAAGATGGCTCATCTTTGATGATTCTTTTATAAAACATTGACATGTCAAGCCTTTGAATTAAAAAAGAAAATTAAGTTCTTTTTTTTCAATTATAACAGAGCAAGTTTGTTGGAATTTAAGGGTTGTATAATGCATACCAGAGTAACCTGGGAGACTGGAATGCAGAGTAGACCAAGTCATTTGCCCTGGTGGTTGATTCCCTGTCACCACACCTTATGGCTCCTTACAAATGGGGCAAACATTTAATATCCTCAAAGCTTGACTTAAGCAATCTTGGCAAAAAACATGACCACACTTGATAGTTTGGGGTTTAACCATACGGTCAAGACATATAGGACATCTGTGATGCATATTTGTCCACCCTTAAGAAAAGAATGAAAAATGAAAAATGAATTCAAAAGAGCAAAGAAATAATTATGTGTTTACATAATTTTAATTTGTAGTTGATTTTGCTCCATACAGTTGTAACAGCATTTAATGAGTGGCAGGAAAAATTCGGAAAAGAAGGGAGTGAAAACAGGAGGCCAAGAAGGTGGGCACAACTTCATACATTTACAGTTGCACTGCTCCTTCTCTCCCCTCTCTCTCATTTCCCCAATTAACCCTCCTAGTTTATACCTGCTACATAAAGACTGTTCAATAGAAATACTGCAAGGGAATCAGGTACAAGTCAGTACTAGTAATAAAGGAAAAAAAAAAAACAATAAGGCCTAAAAGTGGCTTCTACAAAACTGCTTTCATGCTTGAGCAATTCTAATATAGCCAACAGCCAATGGCCTCCTGAATAAAATATGTGTTCTGATTGGAGAACATCATGTCATGTGCTATGGGTCAAAACCATAAATTTGCAACTGTGAAAAAATCTCACAAACCCTCTGGTGAAACAAAAACTAAACTTTTGACTCACATATAATCGGGTTGTGCAGTAGTTGAAACCTTCCCAGATTTGTGTGCCAGCTCATTTTAAAAAACTATTTACACAGACAATTTCAGGAATACTAAATACCGTAAACCTCCATGTATAAGCCACATCCATAGATAAGCTGCACCCCCAATTTGGAAGCGCAGAATTTGGAAAAAAATAAAAACAATACAGTTTGAAGTTTCAGTAGAGTTGTATTACTACAAACAATCAAGGTTTTGAAACACTGACATAGAAGTTGTCGCTTGAAAGAACTCTTGGAGAGCAAGATTTGCCGATAAACACTCAAAGACACAAACGGCTCCTAAAGGAGCCACTCAGTGAAAAAGTCAATGAACTACAGCAACACGCTCTCAGTTTCTTTTATATTTATTTCTTGGCATCTTAAGAAGTTCTTTGAATATTAATTAGGTTTTTGAGAACTCCAAACACAGATGTATCCATGGATAAACTGCACCCTTGATTTTTGGCTTCAATTTTGTGAAAAAAAAGTGCTGCTTATACATGGACATTTATGGTACATATCATCTGTCTCATTTTTGAGTTAGGAGGTATAGCAAAACACTTAATGACTATAGCCCCAGTTTTTTCTTCTCTTCAAAACTGAACATTACCATCAACTTTGCCTACTTGAGGAACATTGAGGTTTTTTCAGGAGACAAACCTACAGCTTCCTTAGGGTCAGTCATTTTAAAAGAGCCCATATGAAAAGATGGGAAGTACTGCAAATTCAAATATTGACATAATTATAAAAGGTGAAAGTCAAATGTCTTCAGCAGTATCATTCAAGCCTCAGTGAGGCATCAGTGAAGCATCATTGAACTCAAGAATATACTGGCTAAAAACACCTCTTGATTAAGAGAACAACTGACCGCTAGTCAAATATAATTGCACTACAATGAACCCAAAGCATCCAGCTAGTATACATGAAATTTAAATTAATTATTGGTCCACTATTTAAACAAATATCAATTAATAGACATGTAAATTCTTCCCATCAGCCAATATGTTAATCAAGGCTACCTACAACCAGCACATGGGATCCAAAAAAAAAATATTCTTGAGAACAAAAAAAACAATTCCAACACACCCATGGATGAACTTTTCCTTCCTACACCTCACATTTGATGAAATATTTGGCATACATTTGCCAAAGAAAAATGTATCTAGCAGACCAGGAGGGAACTTGGTTGTTCTTTAAGTGCTAGCACTAATTCAAAATTAAAAAGTAACCCTCAGCTGAACTGAACTCTACCACCTACTCTCTAACTGTTATTGGCTTATGTAAGACAGAAGTAAGTACATGAAACTGGCTTAAATTAACAGTTAAACTATTTGCAAATAAATACAGCAAAATGAAGAATTTACTCTAACATTGGATCATTGTGATCCTCTCAGGTTTAATGTGGTAGTGGAAGTAGGGTGGGGTGGGATATAATGAAAGGCAATGGTAACAACTTTGTTTCCACAATTTGCAGTCCTGACAAGAGAGTTCAGCTTGCCCTTTGGTGGAAAATCATGACAGAAAAAAGATACCAGCTGAAGGATAAGAATCATGAAAGTAAACACTAAAAGAACAGTCAAAAACTGGGTCAACCATAATGTCAAAATACGTGTACAGCTCACACTAGTGGACAGAATAATCAACAATTATTCACCTAACAAGAGGTGAATAGTGATGGATATTTACCAAGGTGCAAAGCAGTGGGATGAATATCTTCCACTTTTGATGGCACTGTGGTAAATACTTGTTTTAGTATATGCCACACAGACGCAAAAAAACTAGTTTTAATCATTTCTTTCAATATACCAAAAAAAGGGTTGGAAACGAAACTCTTGGCAACCAATTTTGTCTCTTAATCGACTGCTCCAAGGTTAATAGTGTTTGCCATTCACCTTCACATTAGCCAATCATTGCAAGCAAAAAGTACTATTTGCCTGTGATGATTACAAATCAATAATATTTTAATAACTATTTCAAACACCTTGTTGTTATCCAAACTAACAGTGGAAGGAAATTTTATATGAAAAGAGATCTTCAGCTTGCAGACGTCTATGTTCCAAAGGAATTTTCGATTTACCTCTCAGGCTCTGGCTTGTGCTTAGATTTAATTAGCTAATAAATTCATT